CCATCATTTTCGATCCCGACAAAGTGGCTCCCGATGTATAGACTCCTAATATCTTGGTTATTATATATTATAGTTTTTCATACAATAAAAAAAAATAACAGAAATAAAATTCCCCACGCATTTAATAAATGAAATAATGCTGCGTGATTTTTAAATAGCTTTTACATTGTATCAGACTTATTAACAAGGTCTGTTAATATAAAAGTGTGTGTAGCTGAATTCAAATAGAGTTTCTTTCAGTAATCTATTCGAAGGGCAAAGACCCCACCGCGAACAACGTGTACAACCCCCCAACCCAACCCCCAATGAAATATAATTTAAATAGAAAATATATCAGGCGTATTTTTACCAGTGTCTGCCCCCCCTGAAATTTTAGTCAGCCCATTCCCCCCCCCCTCTTCAAAAATTTCAAGTCCCCCCACCCACCCCCTCTCCCCCGCACACGGAGTGCATGTTCACATCTCATTATTTATAACAGGCTTCAGAAAGTGGGTTACTGGGGTGTTTGAAGCAGAGGCTACGCGTGGTGCTTGGGCTACGTTAATTGGTTAAAGTTTATATTAAAAGTTTTTTTTTTAAAGTTTTAATAAAACTAAAGATGTTCACAACAGAAAATTATTTTCAACATACATTTTAAAGGAAGTTGCGATGGCACAAGCCAGAAACTGCGTCATAAAATATATTTTTCCTTTAACTTTTTTGTAGGTAATAATTTTATTGAGAGCCTATAAACCGGTTTATAAACATGTCGAATTTACATGTAGGATTATTGGACACGTTTAAGAAATAGACACAATAATCCTTTTAAAAGACCTTGCTTCTTATTTTGGGAGCTGTTATTTCAATCCTATTTTATTTTCTGTTCAGACTTGCCTGGTTCTCCAGACTTTGGGTAAAAAAAAAATCAAGTTTGCAGGGTCTGATTATATTTCTAAAGTCTTTTTTTATCGCGAGATCGCTTACGTTGAGAAAAAAACACACCCCATGCATTCTGCAGTAATTGAATATGCTGGCTAGATCACGAATGCATTTCGTGCATCGGGTTACTTGTCAACGGTGCATGTGTTGTTGTTTTTTTTTCTTTATAAGGCTCTTTGAACCCTGTCTTGTAATGTATTACGTTTTACCGGCTTCACTCAAGTGTGAACGTAAGACGCCGAGGATTGGAGTCGATAACACAGGTCGTTTAAGCTTGATGTAATCAGTTATTATCAGTGGCGTAGTGATGGGGGGGGGGCGAGGGTGTGGACCGCACCGGGTGACACCATTTAGGGGGGGGGGGGTGACACCAAGGCAAAAAATAGCAAAATATATAGAGAAAAATGATAATTCCACTTAATTAAATGATTAATTCGAGTGTTAAAATAGTGTTGTAAGAGGTGCAAATCAAAAGTATGAGGGGGGGTGCAAATAGAAAATTGAAAGATTGTCCCGGGGAAGGGTCGCTACGCCTCTGAGGGGTGACACCATTAAGTGCCGCACCGGGTGACACCCGACCTCGAAACGCCACTGGTTATTAATATTATACGTGGTTATAAAGCTGTGAGGTTTACGTTAATGCTTAATCACCTCGAACACGTGTCACTGTTGATAAGCGTGCCACTAGTTTGGATAGAATCAGTGCCATGTATAATGCCATTTGAACGATATGCACGATTGAACATACACAATTTGTTGTCTACAAGACAAGAGCAGTGCATAGAAATATGTTGTCTCAAAGACAAGTGTGCAGAAAATGGTTGACTTCAGAGTTGTATAGACAAAATACTTGTCTTAAAGCAAAGATCCTTATACAGAAAATAGCTGTATAGATAAGAGCTCTATACTGGAAAAAATCATCGTTGTACACAACATGGGTAAGACGAAGTAGATTGCAGATAAAGTAGAGTTTGTCAACTTTTTTCCGGGCGTGCACTTAAAATTTTCGGGGGGGGGGGGGGGGCGGACTAAAATTTCCGGATGAAAAAAGTATATATTTTCTATATACATTTCATTTCGTTCGGGGGGGGGGGGGAGGCGGTAGTCTTTCCTCGGGGGGGGGGGGGGGGAGGGCACTCTGCCCCCACGAATAGATGCCTGGAAGAAACTCTGGTTAGCACTATGCCCAGCTGCTTTTGTTTTTCTAACATGACTCAGGTACCCATCAGAGCTTGGTGGACTAACAGTCACGAATTCGGTCAAAGAACAGAATTCAACATATTCGGGAAAGCAGTTAAATGCTCAACACATTCCCCATGCAGAAATCGGTTGTTTTAAGACATAGCCTGTAAAGCTAGACATAATTCCACAGTGCTATATTGCTACGATCAGCCTTTGAGACAGTGACGTATTTAGATAAATATTATATAACCTGCAAGTAGGTCGTAAGTTCACTATTAGGCCCCGTCAAAGCTCTAGTACAAGGTTTCATGTTTTTTTTTTTTTTTTTTTTTTTTTGGGTGATTGCTTTGAGTAGGTTAAAATGAGATTTCATGTTGACAGGCGTTTACGCAACATTTCTAATTTCTATGTCATATTCAGCAAGCATTTTGACAGTTAAGAACTATTTGTAATAGTAAAATTGATATTTAAATATTATCAAATGAAAACACTTACATTTTGTTGTGTTTGATAACTTTTTGGTTAATTAGTATCTAAGAACATGCATAGCTCTATACCTGTTAAATTCATCGCTGGGACGTCTAAAATTATAGTTCATAGGGACGTGTGGATATCGGTTATAAATAATATCCTTGTTATCGCCCGTGCACTTTAATATTACAGTTATTGCCCTTTATCGTTGAAGGTATTAATACTACCCTTTTATTACCTAGGCTTAATTTTTGTATAATCCACTTGTTAGCTTTGTCATATTTATTAACTTATATTATTTTGACTACAGAACAGGCTTTTTGGTTTATTACACTTCAGTATCAGACCAGTTCCATCCCCTCAAAAACCACAAACATTTGTCACTCAATTCATTTATAAAACTACATTTTATTATTAATAAAAAATACAGAAATTCAACGAGAGCCAAAATTCATACTTAACCAAATTTAATAAAGGAAAAATACTCTAATTTTTAAAAATCGTAAACTAATTTAAAATAACGGACAAATACGTTTAAGGTGGTACGTTCAGTTTTTTTAAATATTTTTTTACAGTTTAAAATCTACATCCTTTTACCATGTTTGACACATAAAAGTAAGTATTAACAGAGTTGAAATATTTTGGTTGTCATGGAAACCCAAAAAAAATATACGTGGTGTCTCGCATGATCACCATGAAGAAATGTATAAATTTTCTATTTTTCAGCAATTCATAATTTGTGAATTCGACACCACCAATTCGTGTGACTGAAAATATTTGGCTTTAAAACACTATCAGTAGCTCGTGAAGGACGAGCATCCTCACCCTCACTTTTCACCCCCCTCCCTGTTAAATGCAGAGTTTGTTATTACCTCTCTGAGTTTCAGATAGTTTAAAACCTAAATTATCTTCCCCTTAATAGCCTTCCATAATCCGACCGGGCTCTACGATTGTAAACAGCTCACCAGACTGGTGGGGTGGTGGTGGTAGCGATATGGTATGTTGAGCATGCCTGGAGAGCGAGAGCGGGGGAGGTTCCGCGTGCGTCTACGTTTTGTCCGGCATGGTCCCAATGAACAGAATTATAGATATAGATAATCAAACTAATAAAAAAAAAAATACTTCTCACTTTAACACATTATGGAAATATTGTTCTTGGTTTAAAAATTAAATTTTTTTTTTTTTTTTTTTTTAAATTTAAAAAAAAACAGAAAAGAGAATGAAATATATATGTATACACACATACACATACAAACTTAAACATGCAAGCATGAACACGCGACATTTCAGTGTGCGCACTTTTCTATTTGTGATTTTTCTGTGTGCGCAAATTCCTGTTTGCGCGTTTTTCTGCTAGCGAATTTTTCATTGCGTGTTTTTTTATGCGCAGTTTTCCTTTGCGCATGTTTCTGGTCACCTATATTGATGGCCCGTTTTGTGCTTAGATGTGTTTCCGATAATGTTCTCTACATGCTTAATACGTTTTAAAGTAAACCTGATGGCTTTTAGTGTTCTGTCTTGACTAGAACCAGTTGAGTAATGTTAGAATTTACAGACCACCCCACCCCCTTTGCTTTTATAAATATATAAAATGCAAGTACAATACAATTCGAAGTCAAGATTACTTTTTATTTTAGCACACACAAAAATATATTTATATTGTATAGGTTATGAAATGTTTTTTTTTTAATTACAAGATATAATAAATATACATTAAAACAATCTCTACTCTTTACTTCTTCATTTTAAATTTAAACAAAACCACTATCAAAATGCAAGGAAAAAATATAATTTTTGTATCGGATTTTGGGACCTATAAACTGCTTGCCCCATTCCCCCCCCCCCCCCCCCCCCCACCTCCCGCATTTTCTAGGTCGGGCGGTCCTGTGGTTCCGCCCCTGCAAAGTGCTGACCCCACTTTCCTATCCTATGACGAAATATTGAAACAGAACATTAGTAGTATAGTCCACATTATATTTTAACTGCGTCACATACAAAAAAAAAAGCTACAAAAGTGAAAAAGAAGTAAGTGTAAATAATAAATTGTAAAGTTCATAGTAAAAATATAGAAGTTAAAATATCTATAATCTATTAAGAATATATTAAAGCATACTTGTCTGTCTGTGCTTGATTTGTTGTGTTGAATGTAATTGCTAATACAATTGTAAACTAATAAAACCAATAAGGCAAACATTTACAAGAAATTTTCATAATTTTTATTAAAATTGTTAGGGAAAATGTTAAGAATGTTACTGGACATGTTTATTTATTTAACCCTGCAATTTGTAGTGCATTGTTTAAAAATATGTAGACTTGAAGTCAACATTTACTTAACTCTGCAATGTATTTCATTAAAATGTGTTTCTTTGAAAAAAAAGGGGGATTTGATCTTCATCTGCTGTTAGATATTTAAATTTTAAACATGTTCATAACAAATGAAACAATCCTTGTTACACTTATTGCAGATATTTCTTTGAAGTTTATTTTAAAAAGCGTCTGTTAGCGTCCTTCAGCTCAGTATATTCTGCAGGTGTGGTCCTGGCCAATGGCGAACGGAATCTATTTAATTGTATGAAAAACGTGCATTATTAACACATTTAAACAGTTCTCAATTTTAGCAAAACTTGATTCAATACTAAGTTTAACATGTTTTATTACTTTAAAAAGCAACTTTTTTTCAGAAAAATATGACAATAGACAGTTACACTCGATATTATATCCATGTTATTTAGTCTAAACATTTTAACGGGCATTTAACCAAATTTTATTTCCTTGAGGTTACTGCGTCTATTCAAATCTAAGCATATGATAACATTATTCACATGTTCATTTTAACTTGTTTCGGCAACTAAAATAATTATTTAGATCTTGCACCAACCGTTCCATATCAAACCATATAGCAGTGATTAAAATTGATTCGAGAAAATTTATTTGAATGGATTCCTTATAGCAAAACAAAAATGAATATATATATATATATATATATATATATATATATATATATATATATATATATATATATATATATATATATATATATATATATATATATATATATATATATATATATATATATATATATATACATATATGGTGCTATTTTTACCTCCATGCTTCAATTGTGATTTTGACGGTAGTATGAAATTTATGGCACGTGGTGTACATATTGATCAACTAAACGTGACAATAATGATCATGATTGTAGTGTCTCCCCAAGACATTTGTTTTATATTCATCTACAGATGTGGTCAATATTCTACTAGTAGGCCTACTCAGAGTGGAGTCAATAGGTCGGATGTCCTTTAGGATGTCTTTCCACCCCACCCTGACCCTCCAACAATTTAGCATTTACACTTGACAAAACATTGTTTCAACTGTAAATTTTACGATTGTTCTATATGAGGCCAGCCCTCAGAAAGACACTATCCCCCGATTTTTTGACGGCCTATGTACTCAGTTATTTTAAAGAGTAGGTCGCTCGGGACGGAATGCAGCCTTGACCACGATAAAACCGCTGATGTCCCAGATATACTGTATTTAACTTACCTTCTAACTATGAAGAAGATGACAAATCCCAGCAGAATAATGAAAGCAAAAGTACCAGTTACTGTGGCCACAAGAAGTATATTTTTAGCACCTGTAATGATTAAATACCAGATTTTGTACAATTTGCGTTACATCTATGATAATTTTATAATGATTTTATGTATTTCTTATTTACATATCGAACTAATATTGTATTAGGTATATTTCTCTTTTCTTATTGTTGGTTAGGGCAATGAACTCCTATGTTACAGTTTGAGGGGCAGGTAAGAGCAGTGTTTCTTCCAGATTTCTCTCTCCGGAGGGTGGGGGGGGGTGGAATTGATATTTTCGGGGTAGGGGGGTGGCGGACAACACTTTTCGGTGGAGGCGGACACTGGTAAAAGTATATGTTTTCTGTACAAAGTCCATTTCGTTCGGGAGGGGGGGGGGTAGACTTGGAAACTATGGGGACGAGTTTTGTCGCAAATCATGATGATAATACTCTGCCTATACATTGGAATTACATGGTAATTGTATAGGCCCATATATTATCTCACAGACGTGTAAATTTTCAGTTGTTTCCTATATCCAGACGAGTGTAGTTTATGCTCAATATTAAATATTAACAAAAAGGGAAACTACTCTGACCATAATGTTTATAAACAAACTTAATCATAATAACACATCTATAACACCCACCGTTATCTCTAGTATGATCTGACTTATGTACAGTAGTTGTAGTCTCTATGTTAATTGGAGCTTCAACAAAGAAAGGGTAAACATCTGCAAACGTTATTGGGTTAGTCACGCAGTGGGCCAGAGAGTAGGATCCTTTCCCTGATGTTGTTGTACCTGTTCACATAAAATCAATTGTATATTAATAATATCTCATATATTAGTCTGATCAATTTTTGTTTACCGGAAGTGGTACCTTAACGTACTCTATTTCCGGTCTCTCAAAATCCGATAATTTGATTACCATTAAAGTTAGGTAGACAAAATTTCACATTCAATTGTATGCGCAGTATTTCGGGTCTCAATTATAGATTTCATTAAGGTTGTCCATCCAAGAACAAACTGGACTGCAGTTTAATGTAGGGTTTTCTCTCTCAGTTGGGTTGTTGTCCCCATGACTACTCTGCCCGGTAGTTTGAGCTTGGGACATTTCGGTTAAGCAACCATGAGATTTACGGGTCAGATCACACCGACCGAGAAATGTATCAGTATGTTGAATGATACAATTACTTTTTCTAGTACATCGGGTCATATATGTATGTAACACTACACAACTTGATTATATTAGCGCGTGAAAGTAGGTCATCAACTGCTCTTTTTCGTACTAAAAACTAGTATTCTTCAAATTAAATGAGAACATGAATATTTGTATTAAATCGTGAAAAAAAGGTAAATTCAAATAATTCATGATTGTGTGTAGTATTATATTTAAAAAATTCTATTTATGTAGCCGGTTACAATAATAACTACTACTACCATCGCTTACACGTAAAACACGACTAATTTAAGTGATTATAATATGGGGAATTTCCGAAATGCAATTTTTAACACACTTGATGTTTTAAAGTTCCCTACATTCTACTTTAACTGCCCCATGGGGCCTTTACCTTCTCTAAATTTAATGGACTAATGGACTTTCTACTGACTTGAACCCGGGTTCGAACTCGAGACTTTCGGTTTAACAGTCTAGCAATCTATCTTTAGGCCAGTCTGTACCTCACACACACTTGATTATTAACCAGTTCAATGCATGTCTCAATCTTAAATTACTTTATTCCTTATGGATGGGTGAGCAGTGAGAATTGTTTTGGAAATAAGGTATTTGTTCCCTGGTTACGAAACATCCCTTCATTAAGCGACTTCTTTCAAATAATTGCATCGTATTAAGTGGACCTTCAGAGATAATAGGAGAAACGGAAAAGTCATAAACATGGTATGAAGATAATTTTAGACAATCAATAAGGAATAGCTAAAAGTTTGGAGAGCCTTTTTGTTAAGTGAATTGTTTTGACAAGTTTGTCATACATGTATTCTTGGGAGCAATATCTTTTAGGATCAAGCACTTACTTTTCCGATTACCTTATGTTAGGGGCTTTATTGTATGTTACTATTGATGTTTTAGTAATTAAAGTATGTAAACAAAAATACAGGGGAGAAAACCAGCTAAGTTATATACTGTATAATTGTTAGAGTAGCGTCCCTGTTGCAATGATATTTTATATTGAACTGATTAATCATCAACTAAACACTTATTAGAGTGAAAAAAATAATAAAACAAAGATACACAAAATTATAACAAGAAGCTGTTAAGTGCACTGAAAATAAGAAAATAAAGCGAATTTGCTTTCTTAAGTAAAAGCTTTGGTTGCTCATGAGATCTCTTACACATTTCAGCGACAAAAGATTTTACTAATGAAAGAAAATAGGCCTACGCTTTATTTGAACAAAATCGCTGCTTAAGAATTTGGTCAAATTTGAGCTACAAGATTTGTCACAAACCCACAAGCAGACGTTGTGAACTAAGTAAAAGCTTATAATAATATTTAACAGCAAGCTTTTAAATCCACTGAAAATAAGTTTAAAAATAAACTAATTTGAGTTCTTTCACAAAAGCTTTGGTTGATCATCAGATCTTTTACATATTTTACACTATATATATGTATCAGTAAAAGCTTTTGACCGAACTCCGGTAACCGGAAGTGGTATCTACCGGTTTGTGTACCGTTTACATTACGCGGACAAAACTTTACATACAAGTATAAATAACATTGTATGAACAGTTTTCTGTTAAATAATTTTCCAAATGCTAGCCATCACTGCCAAGGCTTATCCTTCTCACCGAATCTTTATTCATTATTTTAAAACATGCTTTATCAACAATTTAACAATAGCGAAAGCAGCTTTGACATTTTTTAAGACATTTGCTTTTTAAAAACAGTAACTCCTTGTTACTTGTTACCTGGCGGACAGGATATGCAACTCAATTGTTTAGGCTTGTCCTGATACATGCCCTTATCACAGTACACACAAGATCCATTTTGAGCAGAGTATGTCCCAGCAGGACAGTCCACTAAAAAAAACAATATATATATATATATATATATATATATATATATATATATATATATATATATATATATATATAATATATGAGTTTTTTAACACACAACAACATCCTATTTCAAAATTGGATTTGATTAAAAGACATACATACCACAAAACCCTTGCACAAATCCGGAGCCATCATGACAAGTTACTGATGTATGCATTGTTTGGATTATACCTGTGTATTTCACCCCATCAATTGTAACAGATAAGTTGTTGCTATTGTTTATAAAATTCCCAAACATTTGCTGTAAAGCCGTCAGCTGTTTCATTTGTTTCTGTACATCTTCTTCTGTAGAATAATATTGAAAAATAAACAAAGTATACAAAAAAGCAAGAAAGTCTTTGTTAAAAATACATCAGTATTAAATATACTTAAATTTTTTATTATTTCACTATTTTCTTATGTTGAACAACCTACCTGTTTGTCCACCAAGGTATGAGGATTCAGAAGTGTTGTAACCAGGAAATATTAATCGGGTTAACATAACCATACTTCCTTGATTAAAGAAGTGAAAGCAACATAAAATTATAAACGAGAAGGTAAAATAATGATTAATTACAGAAAAATCTATTTATAAAGCTGAAACAATAAAAAATTATATTTTGAAGTTGGTAAAAATTAGATAATTACCAACTGATTTTTTTGCCCTGGTTCCCTGTTTACAAGCTGGACTTGTATCAATTGTAAAAGCGCAGGTTCCGGCTTTGAAACATTCCTGTTGTGACAACTGTTGATTGACAGATGCTGTCAAAGCCTCAGGATCTGGTTGGTTGTTACAGTCAACAATAAATGTTGTTGTAATTACGGGTGACACAGACTCCGGGATTTTTCTATCTACAGGGAACAAAAACCAATTCAAAATTTTTAAAAATAATCCGACTAGATATACGTTTTACAATTTTTTACCTCAAATGAAACTAGCAAAAGATGTAATAGAAAATATTGTTTATATTTTTTAGAGAATAAAACAATGTATAATGTTGCGTGGTTTAAGATAATAATAATCGCGATTATATATAAATGACAGGCTTTTTACATTGTACTTTGTTATATTTGCAATTCAACAAAAGAAAATAATTTTTTAAAGGATATGCAAAAGTTCAAGTTGTAAAAATAACCAACGTCTCATCTACTCAACAAGCGAAGATTACCAGAGCAAGCTTGTGTAAGCCCAACAGGGTTATCCTTTGATTGTTGTGACCATGTGTAGTTACTGGTGGGTCCACATTGGTAATTGTAATCAAAATGCGGCATCAGTATCAGAGCATCTTGACAGACAACAAAACAGGTCATTAAGCCAGCGTTGTCCGTTGAACAATTCCATTCTTTCTGGCCTTCGCGGAGCTCTGGTACTTTACATTCTCAATTTTGAATTAATAATTTTATTAGAAACTATGAAATTTGAAAGAGCCATATTTTATACGCAGAAAGGGGAAATCGTGAGTTTACGTATTATAGAAATTATAATTTTAAAAATTGCGATGTGTGATGATATATTTTGTAATAAACTATTTGTAATCAAAGTTACAGCAAGCAAAGTTTTATTACAAAATGAAAATAACGATTGTATCTATACTTCTAATGATTTTATAACTGACTATGCTTTTTTATTTAACTTAAAAATAAATATATTAGTAAGTTCTATAATATGATCAGTTTTTCATTTTTTGTAGTTAATCAACACACCACGACATTCATTCTTGGTTGTTACATGACTGAGCTTCATTGGCTAGAGTAGAGTCACAAGGTTTTCCCCCTTGACTTGGAGCTGGGTTGTCACATGACCTTTGTCTGGTTGACACACCACCTCCACAGCTACTGCTGCAGGTGCTCCACTCACCCCATTCTCCAAAACCTCCATCAACTTGTACATTAAAAGAAAGTCAAATTAAAAATTCAATGCAACACAAACACTGATATAACTTGTATTGATAGTAGAGACAACAAAAATTATCCTTTATACTTTAACTAACTTTAAATTATTTTAAACAGACACATTTTCAGCAAATAACTCATAAGAAGAAATAAAGTATAACGTCAACTGAATCGCATTTTAACATGTACCTGGGCATACTGCCAATTTACATAGTTTTGTGTTGACCTTTGGTCCCTGACATGACAGACCACCATTAACCGCTACTGATGCAACAGAGCGTGTGCGAGTTGCAGTACCGGAACCGCAAGTCACATCACATGTCCATTGGGTCCACTCATTCCACTTACAATCTGCTCAAACAAAATATTAAGACAAATATATATATATATATATATATATATATATATATATATATATATATATATACACTTGTGGCTTACCTTCACAGCCAGTATTGCAGATTTCAGTTTCAGCCTGTGAGCCTTTGCAAAAGTCTCCCCCATTTTCCGGCATAGGGCTGTCACAGTATCGTAATCTTGATTTAACACCAGATCCACAGGTCACTGAGCAGCTTGACCACTGACTCCATGATCCCCATTCACCATTTACAATGTCTGATTTGATATTTTTTAAAGCAGACAATATAAATTAATTTGCATAGAATATTCGTAGTTAGTTGTTATTTTAAACAAAAAAAGACGAGAACAAGTATTCTGCGCAATCAGAGTAGGTTACATATTTTGCGTTTCAAGTGAAATTTAATATTTTCTACAAATAAGTAATGCGCCACTGAGTTTTATTGTAATTAATACGATTTAGTTTGTTCTGATATCTTCATTCTACTAAAAGTCACTATTGTTTACAACTTTGTATATTTTTTGTCTGTATTGCTTGATAAGAGCGTCTGCATTATGTGTATAGCTTTTAACTAAGTATTTATGTAGAGAGCAATATTTTTTTTATCAAAATGCTAAGCACATAAATCTATTTATAGACTTCAATTAATGTTCTGATGTGATAACGTTGCTTTTCGGACTTGGGGGGAGGGGGGGGGGGGAGGAGGCACGGTGCAGGTGAAGTACAGTTCATCTGATTCTTTGACCTAAGGATATAAAAGGATAATGAGATCAGACCCATGCTCAGCCGAAATAGTTGTTTGGCTGAGGTATGTCGCATTGTTAGATGTGGGGACTGGCTTTTTGTAACGGTGTGTGACAGTGTGGAGTGGAAGGAAAAAAGATTAAAAAATCGTTAAACAAACGTGAATTTATGGATGACCCTCGAAATTAAATTATTTATCTCCATAGTCTTAAAACACTTACATACTGTTTGAATATACGTTGAGCATAAAGTATTAAGACTTGTTTTTTTCAAGATTTCGGGCGAGAAATCAAACACAGCAACAAGGTCTATTGACTAAGTGAAACTTCAATGCAAGCAATTTACGGCGAGTAATAAATATATTAGTTTTTTTAATACTTGTATGGCCTACAACTCAGTAAACTTAAAATAAAAAACTGTACTCGATAACATTCATATTACAATTTGAGTTATAAAATGGTAGAGTTTAAAACAAAGTAAAAAATACAAAACCCATCCGCTGTTAAGGAGATACAGATGGGTTTCTGTTATTTTATTGTTTACTTACGATTACGCTCATTGCAAAGAACACCAGCAAAGCCATCCTGACAAGAACATTCATAGCCATTGTTTTCAGGCTGATTAATGCATGTTGATCCATTAGCACACAGATTCCCATGGCAGAAATCTGGGGCATTTTGACACCGATCTCCTGACCACAGCTCATCACAAATACAAACATAACTATCTGATTGAGAAATACAAGTGCCATTTTGACCACATGGTTCATTAATACACATGTCTCGATCTGCAAAAAAAAAAAAAAAAAAAAAAAAAAAAAAAAAAGAAATAAAAGCTATACTTTCTGTTTAAACATATTTAAAAAAAAAAGCTTAGCAGACATGTTATTAATTAATTGAGAGGATGTTCAGCATTAAATTTGAAAAAAATGTATGCACATTTTGAAGTTTTAATGCATTCAGTAAGATTGGACTTATTTGAAGTCCGTTTTGAAATTAGTTTATATTGCAATTGTGTTTTATAGAAAGAGTTTATCTGGTTTTTGTTATTTCAGTAAGTATGTTTGGTAAACATTTGGTAAATATTGATCACTACAAAGCAGTTATAAAATTAACAAAATTAAATATAACTAATTCACCATTGCAAGTACTATTAGTCATGATGAGAGACTCCCATGGTTTAAATGCCAGCACATGATTGTCTACTTGTTTGTTACATGAAGTGCTGAACTCTTTAATCTGGGATTCTGTGTAGGCTGTTCTTGTCATTTGGATTCCACTAATTATTACGGCTGTTGAATAAGAAAACATCATTGAATTATTCTGTGAAATCCTGATGTACACATGAGTATTGGTGCAGTTGAGGGTTCGGTTGCAGATATATATATATATATATATATATATATATATATATATATATATATATATATATATATATATATATATGATTGGGGTATAAATTTGGATAGAATTATGACTTTTAGTATTAGTGTTAAGATTGCATTGAGAGAGCTCTTCACCTTTTCATACCATTATTGAGGGCGTTCAACTACCAATACTCCTTCGTCACAGAAAACATGAATATAGGCTACTACATCTTTCTGGTTTTTTATTTAATAAAAAGTATTAACAACGTCAGTTTAGTATCTCTATCTCTATCTCTATCTCTATCTCTATCTCTATCTCTATCTCTATCTCTATCTCTATCTCTATCTCTATCTCTATCTCTATCTCTATCTCTATCTCTATCTCTATCTCTATCTCTATCTCTATCTCTATCTCTATCTCTATCTCTATCTCTATCTCTATCTCTATCTCTATCTCTATCTCTATCTCTATCTCTATCTCTATCTCTATCTCTATCTCTATCTCTATCTCTATCTCTATCTCTATCTCTATCTCTATCTCTATCTCTATCTCTATCTCTATCTCTATCTCTATCTCTATCTCTATCTCTATCTCTATCTCTATCTCTATCTCTATCTCTATCTCTATCTCTATCTCTATCTCTATCTCTATCTCTATCTCTATCTCTATCTCTATCTCTATCTCTATCTCTATCTCTATCTCTATCTCTATCTCTATCTCTATCTCTATCTCTATCTCTATCTCTATCTCTATCTCTATCTCTATCTCTATCTCTATCTCTATCTCTATCTCTATCTCTATCTCTATCTCTATCTCTATCTCTATCTCTATCTCTAACTCTGTCTCTGTCTCTATCTCTATCTCTATCTCTATCTCTATCTCTATCTCTATCTCTATCTCTATCTCTATCTCTATCTCTATCTCTATCTCTATCTCTATCTCTATCTCTATCTCTAACTCTATCTCTGTCTCTGTCTCTATATCTATCTCTATCTCTATCTCTATCTCTATCTCTATCTCTATCTCTATCTCTATCTCTATCTCTATCTCTAACTCTATCTCTGTCTCTGTCTCTATCTCTATCTCTATCTCTATCTCTATCTCTATCTCTTCTCCATCTCCATCTCCATCTCCATCTCCATCTCCATCTCCATCTCCATCTCCATCTCTATCTCTATCTCTATCTCTATCTCTATCTCTATCTCTATCTCTATCTCTATCTCTATCTCTATCTCTATCTCTATCTCTATCTCTATCTCTATCTCTATCTCTATCTCTATCTCTATCTCTATCTCTATCTCTATCTCTATCTCTATCTCTATCTCTATCTCTATCTCTATCTCTATCTCTATCTCTATCTCTATCTCTATCTCTATCTCTATCTCTATCTCTATCTCTATCTCTATCTCTATCTCTATCTCTATCTCTATCTCTATCTCTATCTCTATCTCTATCTCTATCTCTATCTCTATCTCTATCTCTATCTCTATCTCTATCTCTATCTCTATCTCTATCTCTATCTCTATCTCTATCTCTATCTCTATCTCTATCTCTATCTCTATCTCTAACTCTGTCTCTGTCTCTATCTCTATCTCTATCTCTATCTCTATCTCTATCTCTATCTCTATCTCTATCTCTATCTCTATCTCTATCTCTATCTCTATCTCTATCTCTATCTCTATCTCTATCTCTATCTCTATCTCTATCTCTAACTCTATCTCTGTCTCTGTCTCTATATCTATCTCTATCTCTATCTCTATCTCTATCTCTATCTCTATCTCTATCTCTATCTCTATCTCTAACTCTATCTCTGTCTCTGTCTCTATCTCTATCTCTATCTCTATCTCTATCTCTTCTCCATCTCCATCTCCATCTCCATCTCCATCTCCATCTCCATCTCCATCTCCATCTCTATCTCTATCTCTATCTCTATCTCTATCTCTATCTCTATCTCTATCTCTATCTCTATCTCTATCTCTATCTCTATCTCTATCTCTGTCTCTGTCTCTATCTCTTCTCCATCTCCATCTCCATCTCTATCTCTATCTCTATCTCTATCTCTATCTCTATCTCTATCTCTATCTCTATCTCTACCTCTACCTGTACCTCTATCTCTATCTCTATCTCTATCTCTATCTCTATCTCTATCTCTTCTCCATCTCCATCTCCATCTCTATTTCTATCTTTATTTCTACCTCTATCTCTATCTCTATCTATATCTCTACCTCTACCTGTACCTCTATCTCTATCTCGTTCTCTATCTCTCTTTCTCTCTATCTCTCTCTCTCTCTCTCTCTCTCTCTCTCTCTCTCTCTCTTAGTCTTGTAACTTAATAAATAATTAATCTTTTGAAAATAACATTTTTCCTACATTTTAGTTCAAGTGAACCTTGAAAACGAATGTCTTTTTGAGCCAATTTTGTAACAATGACTTTGTTAACATTTTCTATTCTTTGTCCATTAACGAAAAGAGTTAAATTTCCTGACGTGTACACCAGTGCAACGTGGTTCCATTTTCTGAGAATTAAAAGAAAAAAAAATTATTTAAAAAAAATTCTGTATGAGTTTTAGCATCTTTTATAATAAATGTTACATGTAGTATATAGGTTTCTCTTTAAAATTCTAGTTAAATCTTAAATCATTTAAATAATTTAAATAACTTAATGAAAATTGTTCGAGATACTAAAAACGAACATGAATTACATGAGTTTCCTGTTGGTAACATCTGTACTGCGTTGTATTTCAAGTACAACTGTGTCTATTACCAAAGCAGCATTTGAAGAGCTAGGCGTGGGTTTTATCGAAAACTTCAAGAAAGATTTTTGGAGTGTTGTTGCATCAGAGATCCAGGTCATGAATGTAAATGCTCTGGTCATGTCATCAAAAATTTGAATGGCTGGTTTAGAAGTACTCTGAGTCAACCTGATGTTGACAACTAGGGAATAACATTGTTGATTTTTAAACATATTTTTATATATAAAATGATATGTAAAGAAAAATAACCAAGCTTTAAGTTGATAAGTAAAATAATCAAAAGTAGGCCTACATTTTGTATGCTATAGAGCCAACTACAAAGAAAATAGTTTACTCTAAAATATGACTGAAGAAATTTTTATAGTACGACAAAGTATAAGGTCTGTTTACAAAAACAATATTGAAGTGAAGATGCTCCAGTTGATGCTGTGGTCATCCCATATGGACAAAGTGTACATTGCTTTGTACCATACAGAGATGTGTACGTTCCTTCGGGACAAGGGTTACAGCGTTCGATTCCCGATGATGAGTACTGACCAGGTAAGCACAGATCTATAACCATAAAAAATAAACTGAATGATTTAAGCTAGGCAAAGACGTATCAGGCATCGGATACATAAAATGGTGGTTTTGAGGCACATTTGGCCCGTAGCTGCAACCACAAAAAATATTTTCATACAACTTAAATTGATGCATGCAACAAACACAAATAATTAAATAGCAATGCATCAGGTCCACATGATACTTATACAAGTAAAATGTATAACTGATATTATTATTTTAGAAAACAAATGTGATTGATATTTAACAAAACATATACACACACTGTGACCTATCAAAGCATACAATGCCAATAAGAGAAGCGGATAAGAGCTCTGTAGCTGAAAGCTGCTATTTTACAAATAAACATATAATTATTTTACAATGTTCTACATATATTAATTTGCACAGCTTATTTTGCATCTACTAGTATATTTTACTTTAAGTAGAAACAGTAGCAATATTTTCCTTTATTAATTAACTTTTAATAGTTATTTAGGTTAGCAGAATGTTAAAAAAAGAACATCTTACTCTGACAGTCAGCTAAAGATCTGGCCATATTTTCGGTGGTTGTTGTACCTTCTGGACATGGAGTACATCTAAAGGATATTTCCTGATCCTGGTAGGTTCCTTGAGGGCATTTATCACACACTCCCGTTGCATTGTTGAAAGCATAGCCTTGCCCACACCCGGCTGATTTAATTTCATAAATCGAACGTGAATTGTGACGGTTTGAAAAAAAGTAAAAAAGTACATGATTCTAGAAGCAACATTAGTTCTACTTATTTTAAATAAAACTATTTGGGCAACGTTAATACTAATTTGCCTTTTATATTATATGTTAATGATTGAAAACATAAAGTATTGAAATATTAAAATGCAATATGTATGGCAAAAAGAAAAATGGTTGTATTAGTAGTAAAATGAAGAATTTCAAATATCTGTTCAAAGTGCTAACGTAGTCTCAATACATTATTCTGACATTAATCCGTTTACAACATTACATTATAAAAGTACACCATTACGCGCATGATACAAACACACAATAAGTATAATATATTTCAACCAATACAAGTGTCTAAACCACTTCCCTAATTTGAGTTAATTTATATAAATTGTGATACATATAATTATGGTCAACTTTATTCTCTGTGTTGTTATAAACTAATGTATTTTTTACAAAATGGAACTTTTTAAAATGCCACGTAAAACTAAGTCGGGTTACATTTTTCACTATTCAGAACTAATGACAATAATAATAAATCAGTAGCTAGTAAATTTTGCAGTAATAGGTAACGATAATATTTTCTGAAGATCCCTTGTTTTTTCAAGATTTCGGGCGCGAAATCAAAAACAGCAACAAGGTCTATTGACTAAGCGAAACTTAAATACAAGCAGTTTACGGCGAGTAATAAAAGTATTAGTTGCTTTTTTATACTAGTACGACTACAACTCAGTAAACTTAAAAAAAAAAACACTGCACCATAACATTCATATTATAATATGAGTTATAAAATGGTAGAGTTTAAAACTATGTAAAAATACAAAACCCATTGGTTGTTAAGAAGATACAGATGGGTTCCTGTTCAACCCGTGTCGCAGCCGCCACCCCAAAAATATTTGGGAGCGAGTTTAGGATATTATCCCTTTATATATACTGAACCATACGTTTAATCAGTCAAAAATTTCTGAGAGAACGGTGAAACTGCAATAAACGTCCGCTAACCACGCTGCGATAACAAATACCAAGCTGGTGAGGGTCGTAGCCAAGCAAGCGGTCATATGGTTTTGCCGTCAAATTATTTATAAAAGAATGGCTATTGAAATATAAATATTATTTTTTTCTATAAGAAGTAATTTTAAAGGAAGTCGGCTTGGTTGAGTTGGTTAAGCTCATGGTTGCTAAACCGATAAGTCCGGATTTCGGACCCCCGGGCAGATCAGGCTCATAGCGGGGATAGCCACTCATCCAAGTTAGAAAACTCCAAAATCAAACAACTGCTGCCTTGTAGTTTGTTCTTGGTTGAACAAAGACATGGAAGCAAAAACAAAAAAACCAGGCTGAAATCGGAATCAACGGCTTGTATGGCGCATAACCAGTTGACACGTATAGTGTTGGAGGGAATCCAACACTAAAAATTAAGAACGAAAAAGAAAAAGAGAGATTGCGTTTTCAAATATTCTGGGTACTTAGATAAAAACAAATCAGCTACCTACCGCACGACATTTTTGTGTAAACAATTTGTTTTCCTGGTTCACAACGAAAATCCATTTCTCCACTTTTAAAGGAATCAAATGTTCCAACATTTGGCATGTTAAATTTTCCAGAATCAGATGCACTTAAAATCTGATTATTCACGCCGTCTACAATATTTTGATAGAAAATTTGTGTTTCATCTGGACTGGTTTGATCCTTATAATTACCCAAGCTAATAACAGCTTTAATCTGAAATTATAGTTCAACATCGCCTGTATTTTGTTCGAATGCATTGTTTTGATAGCTGCTTAAACTCAGCATAAAAAGTCTAATTATTAACAGTATGATAGCTTATTACTGTAATTCAAATTTGAATTATTAGTATAGCTGCTATTATAGGCAGATAAATGAGGTAGAGATGTGGTAATAGTAGGAAGATCCAGTTACTGTGTTGCAAAATGTGCGTAAAATGGTTGTTTCTACAGTTCACCGACATATATATATATATATATATATATATATATATATATATATATATATATAAATGTGTGTGGAGTTTGAGGTGGTTTCATTTAAGTGTGGGGTGGGAAGTGGGCGTTGTTTTTCAGATTCCGGGGTGTTATTAGGCAGTGTGAAGAATAGTTTGGGATGTAGTTTTGGGGTGCGTGGTTGTGTAGTGTGTTTCGAGGTGTGTGGCGGGGTGTTGTGTGGTTTTGTCTACTTCGTGTCTTATGTGCTGTGGTGTATGTAGTGATAAGGTGTGTTTCGTGGAGTGAGGTGTGAGTTGTGTTACTTAATAAGTCCACACTGTAAATAATCGTCAGTCTTACTTCATACAGGAAAGGCTGAGTGTCTTTTTTCTTTCTTCTTTGTGTAATTGGTCCACACGTAATTTCGACTGAATTTACTACGCAACCATCATCACCACATACATCTGATAATCCCACATCGTTTAGGATGAGAAGAAAATTGTCTTTGATTTGACTGCTGTTTGCACTGCAGTCAGCAGAATAATAGTAGAAGCTGGGCTTGGTCAATGCTTCTGATGGCTGACGACGAGCTGAAATTTAAATTGATGGAAAAAGATTTATTAGTGGAAAATATTATATGCAGTGAAGAAATATCTGTATATCGTGCAATTCAAGGACACCAAGTTTTTAGTTTTTATTGAGTTTTAAAAGAATCTATCTATATATATATATATATATAACTCTCTTCTTGGAGAACTTAGAAAACACCAAGCTATAAGCTCGCCTAACAGCCCCCTCTCTTTCTCTCTAGACATATCCCTCCCACCCCCACCCCTGCATGGTCTGATGAGCTTTGGTTCACGCTAAATGTTTACAATCGTAGAGCCGGGTTTAGAGACGTCTATTAGGGGCAGATAATTTAGTTTGAAACTATTTTAAACTTAGGGGAGGTAACTAAAAGGAGGCTGCTTTCACGGGGGGGGGGGAGTTAGGGGAAAGGAGGGTATAGTGTTCAACAGCAAATATTTTCAGTGACAGCATTGGTACTGTCGAATTCACAAATTATGAATTACTGAAAAGTAGAAAATAAAACTAAATAGCGACTTGTGAAACGCCGCGGGTCGGCTCGTATATATATAATTCTCTTCATTGATACCATAGATAACACCACGCAGCTTAGCCACCACCCTCATCCCCACCTGTCAGGTGAGCTCTGGTTCACACCAAATGTTTACAATCGTAGAGCCTGTTTAGTTACGGCTAGTAGGGGCAGATAATTTAGTATTAAACTATTTGATCTTTTCTTTGTCGGTAAACGGCTGCTTTCACTGGGCGGGAGCAGGGGGGGGTGGGAGGGGGTAGTGTTGAATTCACAAATTATGAATTGCTGATTAGTAGAACATAAAACAACTAGATAGCGGCGTATATTACGTCGCGGGTCAGCTCGTACACAATATAATTATAGTAGACTATATGAAAATTAATTCTATAAATTACATACATTTAATCACATGTTTTAAAAGCATAACATTTAGCTGAATAAATAAGCTACAGCGGAAACATTACAAATCACATTAATCCTGGTATCTTATTATATTTCATACATTTAATCTATATGATGCTAATTGGATCACAAATGAGCTTCCACATAATTTAAGCTGGAGAGGACTCCTCTAAATGTTTTCTTATATTCGTATATATAACTGTTAAACATTAAGGTGAATGGGAAATTCCATAGGTTTTAGAATATTTTGCTTTATGAGGATAAGATATAACATATCCATCTCTGAAGGTCGTGAAGTACATAGCATTGAGTACGATTTCCGATTACAGGATACCGCTAAAAGTGAATAGTAACCTACTTATAGGATTTAAAATTTAAATTTGCTACTTGGAAGATCAATTTATCTTTTGCTTTTAAATAAAGACCAAATTGATGAACCAGAATGTATTTGAAAAAAAAAAAAAACAACAAGACATGTTTCTGTTTTTTCAGTATTACTTTTTGAATATAGATGTTTTGATTTTCAACATTACAGCGTATTAAAAGTTTAACATCTTAAAAATATGTAAACGTAATTTTTAATGCCAAACCTGTGCATCCTGGAATATACGTGTAAGGAACCCACTTTCCCTTAGAACAAGTGTATTGGTCAGGTGCTGATGCAGGGTAGGTGAAGTTGATGTTACACATGATGAAACACATTTCACTACCCACACCAAATCCATCACACGATAAAGCTCCATTTAATGGACTGGTTAACTTTGGGCACGTTTGAGCTATATAAGTAAATGATCAGCTTTGAGATTATAATTAACATTAGATTTTTAAACGTAGATTTTAAATAACATTCAACATTTCATCATCTAGTCATTATATCACAAATTTAATTTAATTTTACGATATGAAAAAAATGTTTTTTAATTATTTGTTATTTTCCCTACTATTGCAGTATGGCTTGACGTTTCCTGGCCACGCCCACTGAACCAGACCAGTTGAATTCTTGTCACATTTGATGGAGCTGGGACCTTGGATTGGGTTACCATCCGTACAATTCAGCAGACAGCTAGCGCCATACACATACTGGTTTGGACAACTGTAGGCTACTAGCACTTTGCCTGATGTATCTATTTTTGGTTCATTACATGTGGAATCTGGTTTATCAAAAAATGTATGAAAATATTACTTGTGGAAAACGTTTCCATGCATTCGTTGAGCTCAAACGATGTATGACAAGTTACATTTATTACATATTTTATGATGGATCAACACTTTTTTTAACCATTTGTTAGCCAAGAGCTACAAAATTTTAAAATGCTAAGCTCACCATCGGTTATATATATTTTTTTTAAATTAGCTGCTCTTTTTTTTGTTCAACATATTTTTGAAAACAAAAATAACCATACACATAATAACTGTATATATTATAAATGAACTATACTTATTATAAAATATATTTTTATTATTTAGACGTTAAAATAACTATTGTATATTTATATACATGAGAAAATACAGGACCAATGTTGAGACTTACATTTTACATTAAAATAAAATGTACAGTTAGCAGAGTTCCCTTGTCTATCTGTGGCAGTTACAGTCACTGTGCTAGTGCCAATATCAAAAGCTGAGCCGGAGATTGGGTTGCCAAGTAAAACAACAGGTTCATTTGAATTGTCTGTAGCTTTTGGTAGAGTGTAGTTCACATAAGTAGGCTCTCCTAGACTGGCGGCTTCAACTTCAAAACTTGCTGGACATCCATCAGGAAATGTTGGTGCTTGTGTGTCTTTATAAAACGAAACAATTTTTCTTTTAAAAAAAATTACTGGTTCTGATAATGTACATTATTATTTATTTTTTATCTACCCTGTTAATGGCTTTTTCATGATGGATTAATTTAAAATTGTCAATCTACATTAAAGTTAATACATAGTTTAATTTTGAATTTTCATGACAAAAATGCAAATGTGTTATCATTAATACCTAGACATGATCCAGTCTGTGACCATTCTATGTTAATGTTACACGTGATGGTCAGAGGAGGCTGGGCAGTGAAGCCTTGGTTACAGCTGATTGTACACACATCCTGGTACCTCATACCGCTTGGACACGAGAAGTTACCATTGGCTATGACTGGTGGACTTGTACAGGTTCTGGCTAAAAATAAAAAGTATATTATATATGGTGTGTAATGTTATAGAATTTTACATTCTCAATATTGCGTATTGTTTATATTTATGTCAGAGCAGTTGTGAATATTCATATGCCGAAACAAGGAGAAGGGGTTCCAATGTGTAATTTATTATAATTTAGCATTTTAAAATACTTTTATTTCTGTGGATGCGTTCATTTATTTTGCATTTTAAAATTCTTTTCAAAAATATATTAAAAACAAACGCCCTAGGATACGTCTTTTTAATGAAAGCAAGTTTAATAAATTTCTAATTTTTAAAATTAATTTAAAAAGACTATTATTATAAAGGGTTTTTTATATTTGATTTAATATTTTTTTAATTCTTTATACATCAGAAACCACGTACATTACTTGTTGTAAAACCCAAATAATTATGGACCACATTATAAATCGCGGAAGACTAAAACTCACCAACCAGCCGTAAACGGAGCTAGCTAATCAAGCTCTAGATATTATTTAATCTTGCTATTTCCCCTTTTGTTGTTTAATTTCATAATCTTTGAATTAAAGTTTAGTGACTAATCTAATGATCAATTATTTGAAAAAGTATTAATAGTGTAATCTGTGAAAATGTATCGGTATAGTTTGAACGAATTCTCTTGGTCAGTAGTTGATTAAAGAGGAACACGATGTCATGCAATCATACAAACAGACATTGTAAACTTATAACGAAATGTAAAAAGGTGTTTGTTTTAATATTAATATTTTAAAATAATATCTGGACTTGAATAAGGCCTTGAATAACTTAAAAACACGTTCTTGTAAGATTTTAAAGAAAATAAATGTAATATAGTGAGACTTGTGAAGTCAAGGGAATTCACTCTTCTTGTATTAGTATTATATTTATACTGTTATCTTGAGTGATGTCCCTTACATGTATATATATCTTTGTCTCTCGTCACTTCCGCCCTCTCTCGTTATCATCATGTAGTTGAAGGCCAATAAACGTTTTATATACAACCACATGCTTCTATCGTCAATCCATTACAATAAAGGCACTATATTATATCCTTACGTAAGCAAGTAGGTGTTTCTCCGTCCCATGTCTGATCTTCAAGACACATTTGACTTGAAGCCTCTAGGTTTGTCAGCTCGTAAGCCTGTTGGCAAGTCGTTGTGCAAACAGAGCCATATGCATTTCCATGAGAACAGCTTACATCAGAGTTATTTGTTGCTACATATTCAGGGCACCGCTGAACTAAAATGTAATATATATATATATATATATATAAATATATATATATATATATATATATATATATATATATATATATATATATATATTGTGGCTTTGAACCCCCCCCCCCCCCTTTAAAAAGCTTAATATTTGAAAATTTGTCGGTAGACTACATAAACAATGTATTTTGGGTTCCTTGAAGCCAAGTGTAACAATTTTAAAGTAATACACTTCACAACGAGAATCTGTTTAATGGGTGTATAATTATCATCAATAAGACTAACACATCACAAGAAGAAACACTGACTAGCAGGTACACGACGTTTACTCCACACTACACGGCTTACACACTCCGATTACACACTTATTTTGATTCTAGCACACTACTTTCAAGGGGAGATCACTCTCACACACACTCTCTCCGTGCCTACACACTTTCGTATAGACATCTACGTCACAATGTATTTACACGGGGCGTTGCGTACGTATGTCGGTTATAGCCAGTAATGTCTTATTTTTTTCACATTAGACATGCTAGATTCTAAACTGTTTCCATTTATCAACTTACCTCTTATATGAACTAGCTTTCTACATATGGCAATGTTATTCGAAGCATCGGCGGCTGTAAAAATGACAGACGTTGTCCCCACTGCAAAAGTCGAACCCGATTTAAAATTGCTAGTAACATTCACGGGATATCCAGAATTGTCCTGAGTTACAGGCGGGTTCCAGGTAACGATTACATCACCTAGCTTAGGGCCTGAAAAGGTCTCCACGTCAGGAGTGCAGTCAATTGTAGGCGGAGAAACGTCTGAGGGTAAAGCAATATATATATATATATATATATATATATATATATATATATATATATATATATATATATAATATAATATTACAAACGCGATATCAATATCACTTAATAAAGCAAAACACACAAGACATCTGTTGATAAATGTCAAATTTTTAAAAGAAGGTAAAATGTGATATTCTGTTATAATGTAAGCTTATGGCACTATTTACCTTTGCAAATGCCGGGGACTGTCCAATCTTTGTTTGACTGACATCTTATAGAGTCGATTTTGTCAGTTTCATAGCCAAGGTCACACGTTATAGCACATACAGTACGAAAATAAAAGCTGGGGTCTTCACATGAAAATGATCCTCTTTGCACTTTAGGTGGCGGTCCACATGAAATCGCTGTAACGTTATTCATGGAAATTACGTTAGTATAGGGTAAATTTAGGTTACGTTATGTTACGTAATGATTATTTGAGCTCAATATCGTTTTAAGTCTAGAATGTGAATAATTTTAGGTTTTGTTTCATTTGATTATGTGAGTTTATAACTAAAGTATGATTGTTTTATTAGGTAAAAATTTGACTTAATGTTTGTAATAATACAACATTGTGTTTAGGCACCAGCTGCTACGATATATACGAGTCGTTAACTTACGGGATATTTTTTGTTACGTACGAGCGATATTTTGCTTTGAAATACGAATAGAAGTTAAAAAACTAGAAACCTTGGAAATTGTTTTTTTTATCTTTTTTCGAATATCCTGCAGGTGAACTTTGACGAAGGTGAGAAGAAAGTAAAGACCAGTGAAATAAATCAATGCCACATATTAAGAGAGAGTAAGAACACATTGCACAACAGCATTTAGGTCCAACAACTACTAACCCGAAACATCGATTTTGGGTCACGACGGGAAAATATGATTTAGGTTTAACTGGATATTACGTTGGGGTGGGATCGATCTACTACTGAGTAATGACGGGGTAAAATAACTTACAGGGGTTGTGCACTACTTTTACTATTAAGCCTACTTTAAGACATGTTCATTTATTAAAATCGCATAGTGGATAAATCAAATTGTATACAAATATTTTAAACCTTAAAATACAACCGTTTTAAGATATGCCATACTTACCCTGGCAAACTGGTTTGTCTGTAGACCATGTTTCGTTTTCCAAGCATTCGGAAATTTTAGAACCTGCAAGTTCATATCCTTCGTCGCAAAAATAGGCGCAAATGCTGCCATACATGTTTTTGTTTTCTTCGAGTGAGCATTCAACCTTTCCATGCAGCAAGGATATGTAATCAATAGGACATCGATGAACTGAAGAAATATGTTAATCTTTAATGAACTTTAATTTGTGACTTGAAATACACTTCATTAACGTTATCTTCTACATTATAAGTGTTGAGTTACCATTCATCGTGTGCATTTAAAATGTTAAAAACAAAACAATTAACGAGGATAAATATTGTCTGTTTTATTGTAAGAGCTTTTTATTTTTTTATGTATTATGTTTGTTTTAAAATTCAGTTAGGCCTGCAAAAAAACCTAGAGAAATATAGCAATATACATAAGTTTCTATAGCATTACAATGTAACAAATATTTTGACAACACGTCTCTACTTTACCAATTTTCTTTCGTTTTAGATAAAGAGCTGAGAATTGATCAGCTACAGCTCAAATGAGATTTCTCGATTCAAATGTTAGAACTAGTTAGCTTAAATATTGAAAGTATGTTAATGTTACAAATATGATATTTCAATGCTTACCTTTTACGTTAAATGTAAACGAACAGGTTGCCATGGCGTTATTCCTATCTGTCGCCATGTATGTAACCAAGTGACCACCTTCTTCATGCTGTGTTCCATTCCGGTTTCCTTGAGTCTGTTGGTAACTGAATTAAAAAAAAAAAAACAACGTAGTTTTATACATTCAGGATGCATTTTTATTATGCTGATTTATATACATTTTTCTTTTTTCTGTGCTTTATGTATTTTACCGTTTCTAGACATAAAGCGTCTACTTGTTTTATTTTTTATTTAGTAACATTTTTGTTTTATCGCTAGAAAGTCAAATCGTTTAAATGGGACACATTTATTATTAGCCTGTAGGCTATCAAGAAAAGTAACACTCGATGTTTTTAATGGTGGAACTTAAATTTTCCATTGAAAAGTAACTTTCCAACACAATTTACTTGGAAATATTTCAAAAGTAAATTATATTTTTGTAGTAAATAACAGCATTTTAGTATCTGCTAGAATTGTATTTAGTAATTTTGTCAACTCGTTGATAAAAGTTTCTTTTATTAAATTTTTTTGAAGAAAAATAGATTACTATAAAATGTAAGAAAGATTAGTTATATAAACTAATAAAATAAACATAATAGAAACTGTTTTTCACAATTTAAAAATCAACTAAGGAAAAAACCTTAGAAAATATAAATATACAGGATTCTATATGTTTCTAAATAAGATTGCTAATCAGTGGCGGAACTAGAAAAAATGGGCCACCCCGCAAAAAAAAATGTTGGGCCCCCATATATGTATATGTATATATATATATGAATATATATATATATATATATATATATATATATATATATATATATATATATATATATATATATATATATATATACACATATATACAGACACACAATACGAACATTGAATAGTCATTTCTGGCCGGATCGGGTTTTGAAAAAAAAATTAAAGTACATCTAATCACAACAACATGTCATGTGTGTGAGTGCAATAGTCTGTTTTGAAAATCCCTGTTTTCATTTATGTTTGCCTCAATACATCTAATCAATATGTCGGTCAAAAGTATATAAATCATGAAGCTTTGTCTAAGTAATGGTGTCTAGTGTTATGTTTATTTTTATGATTTTTTTGTATTTATTTTATTAATTTTAACTACATTTCATTTTTATACTATACCATTCTTTAGTACTTTTTTAAAAATAATAATTAAGATAAGTAATTGTTATTTAATTTAATTATTACAAATCTATTAAAGAGGAGCCTATGAGCACCCCGATTTGACTATTTGAAAAGGGAAATAATTTATGGAAGTGATTTGAACGTTTGCCTATCTTTCACACTACAGCTTATGTGGATATTTTTTACATTTTTTTACGCAACAACATGTCTTAGCTACTATATAACATCACTACAGTATTAGATCTGTTATCTGTTTATTATTTACAAAACCACTATCAAGGTGCCAGTGACGAAACTAATATATATATCGATGGTCTCGGTCGCAAACCGTCTAACTCAAAAAAATTCGATTTTCTTTTTTTTACATAAATCAAAAGCCAATATGATTCCCCATAATGCCTGAAAATATTAGAGAAATCTGTAGAATGATTATTGAGATATAATCATTTGAACAAACCGCCTATCATTTCTAGCGCTAAAAATCTCGGCGCAAAACGAATATCGCTATATTTGTCAGTACACTTTTGATCGGGAACGCAATCGCACGTCGCAATCACACAATTTTACAGCACAGCAGTCACAGTACTTATAGGTAAGGATATTCGATTAATTATGTTCAACTATTCTATTACATTTTATCATTTTAAAGAATAATAAACATATAGTATTTGTTTAATATTGCCTATTTCCAGATTGTCAATAACCAAACTGATTTGTTTACAATTTTTTAGGCTAACACAATGCTTTGAAACTAGATCTTCATTCTAGAATCTAAATATCAATCAAAACAATATAATTCGAATTATATTTCCACAAGAATGTGCAATAAATTTAATAATTGTTAATTCACTACTAGCTTTAGATTGAGGGTTTAGATACGTGTTAAGAAATGTTTATATGGTAGGTTACAAAATGTTTGGCGTACATGTTCAACGACATGGTTAGTTGTCTTTAGTAAATGCTTTTATGATTAATTTTTCAACAGACAAGCCTATCTCAACACACCAGCCTCTCCCAACATACCAGCCTCTCTCAACATACCACCTCTCTCAACATACCAGCCTCTCACAACAGACCAGTCTTACCACATAACAGACCAGCCTCTCTCAACAGACCAGACTCTCTTAACAGATCAGCCTCTCTCGACAGACCAGCCTCTCTCAACATATCAGCCTCTCTCAACAGACCAGCCTCTCTCAACAGACCAGCCTCTCTCAACAGATCAGCATCTCTTAACAGATCAGCCTCTCTTAACAGATCAGCCTCTCTCGACAGACCAGCCTCTCTTAACAGATCAGCCTCTTTTAACATACCAGCCTCTCTCAACAGACCAGCCTCTCTCAACAGACCAGATTCTCTCAACAGACCAGCCTCTCTCAACAGACCACCCTCTCAACATACCAGCCTCTCTCAACAGACCAGCCTCTCTCAACAGACCAGCCTCTCTTAACAAATCAGCCTCTCTCGACAGACCAGCCTCTCTCACCATACCAGCCTCTCTCAACAGACTGCCTCTCTCAACAGATCAGCCTCTCTCAACAGATCAGCCTCTCTCGACAGACCAGCCTCTCTTAACAGACCAGCCTCTCTTAACAGATCAGCCTCTCTCAACAGATCAGCCTCTCTCAACAGATCAGCCTCACTCGACAGACCAGCCTCTCTCAACAGATCAGCCTCTCTTAACAGATCAGCCTCTCTGGACAGACCAGCCTCTCTCACCATACCAGCCTCTCTCAACAGACCAGCCTCTCTCAACAGACCAGCCTCTCTTAACAGACCAGCCTCTCTTAACAGATCAGCCTCTCTCGACAGACCAGCCTCTCTCGACAGACCAGCCTCTCTCACCATACCAGCCTCTCTCAACAGACCAGCCTCTCTCAACAGATCAGCCTCTCTCAACAGATCAGCCTCTCTCGACAGACCAGCCTCTCTTAACAGACCAGCCTCTCTTAACAGATCAGCCTCTCTCAACAGATCAGCCTCTCTCAACAGACCAGCCTCACTCGACCGACCAGCCTCTCTCAACAGATCAGCCTCTCTTAACAGATCAGCCTCTCTTAACAGATCAGCCTCTCTCGACAGACCAGCCTCTCTCACCATACCAGCCTCTCTCAACAGACCAGCCTCTCTTAACAGATCAGCCTCTCTCAACAGACCAGCCTCTCGACATACCAGCCTCTCAACAGATTAGCCTCTCTCAAAAGACTAGCCTCTCTCTACATATCAGTCTCTCTCAACAGACCAGCCTCTCTCAACAGACCAGCCTCTCTCAACATACCAGCCTCTCTCAACAGGCCAGCCTCTCTCAACAGATCAGCCTCTCTCAGCAGACCAGCCTCTCAACATATCAGTCTCTCTCAACAGACCAGTCTTACCATATAATATAAGACACCAGCATCTGTCAACTGATAAATCGTAAAGGCACCAGCATCTCTCAACAGACCAGCCTTTCACAACAGACCAGTCTTAACATTAAGGCACCAGTAACTCACAAGAGACCAGTCTCTCTCAGCAGACCAGTCGTAATAAACAAAAGACCAATCTCTCTCAACTGACCAATCTTACCCTCCAAGATACCAGCCTCTCTCAACAGACCATTCTTACCATACAAGAGACCAGCCTCTCTCAAAAGATTAGTCTTATCCTACAATAGACAAGCCTCTCTCAACACACCAGTCTTACCATACAAGACACCAGCCTTTCTCAACAGATCAGTCGTAACATACAATAGACCAGCCTCACATAACAGACATTAGACACCAACCTCTCTCAAAAAGACCAGCCTTACCATACAAGAGACCAGCCGATCTCAAAAGACCAGTCAGACCCAGGGGCGTAGCGAGGGGGGGGGGCGGGGGGTGCGGACCGCACCGGGTGACACCATTTAGGGGGGTGACACCAAGGCAAAAAATAGCAAAATATATAGAGAAAAACTTGAGGGGGGGGGCTGCAAATCGAAAGTTTGAGGGGGGGGGGGAGGGTGCAAATCAAAAACTTGAGGGGGGGGGGGTGCAAATCGAAAGTTTGATTGGGGGGGGGGGGTGCAAATCCCCGGGAAGGGTCGCAACGCCTCTGGGGGGTGACACCATTAAGTGCCGCACCGGGTGACACCCGACCTCGCTACGCCACTGGTCAGACCTATCAAGAATTCAAAGCGACAGATATTCGTGCACTGCAGTACAAGCCTGATGCTACTGTCTACTTCAAAGTGAATTAGAAGATAGCTGGCAATTGCTAAGCTAGGGTCGTAAGATTATGATCTCATCTGTAGCCCCTGTCAAGTTGTACAAGAGCAGAAAAAAAGTTAAAAGCTGTCATATTTGAGCACCTAAAAGCAAGTCATAAACACACCTTTTTATGATTTCCTGATTTTAAAAATATGTTGCCATTTTAATTTTTCTTTATGTGACGTTTATTCAAAGAATAAATTTTAAAAATAAACACATTTTTTTGTGTTACATTTTTGTAAAATAAGTAAACATTAAATCAGTATTAATGTGATTAGTGTGTTATGTCTCATTCATAATATATATGACAATACGGTTTCTGTTTTTACTATTATAATTCTACAAACCCAGCACCCACCAGGTTTAGTAAAATAAACTGTGAGAATAGAAAGATGTAATAAATAAAGCATAACCTTCAACAGTTAACAAGTCTAGTGCTAAATACAGACATAATGAATACAGTCGAAAGCGATAAAGCCATACTAAAACATCTCTACTAAAAATTAAACTGACCCCATAATGTAGAATAAACTGAAATAATTAAAATATGAGCCCAAAACTATAATCTAAATATTATGAAGTGTTAATTATAACTTAAAAACATAAACATAACTAAAACACGTTCATTGGACAAAACGAACGAACGCGTCTGAGACCGAAATTCTCGGCTCAAAACAGCTAAGTCTGCGCGCGCACAGATAGACGGTTTGCACCGAGAATTTTAGACCGAGCAAACCGTCTATCTTTTTAAACCTGCTATATTTTTGTAAATATCAACAAAATCCATTTTAAAACGCTACAGTATAGTCGGTAGAGAGTTTCTTCGGAGATATCTTTAAAAAAAATTTGTATTAGAGCGATCGAGAAGGAAATAATCAGTTTTTTGTCTCTCCTGTAAAATTTACATTTTCGGAGTTAGACGGTTTGCGACCGAGACCATCGATATATATATATATATATATATATATATATATATATATATATATATATATATATATATATATATATATATCATTCGTGTATTTATTTGAGACGTTTGTCTTGTTTTCTTGAACAGTGGTTATTAAACGTAAATAATGTCGGAACTTTATTTTTTGGATATCAGTTGTTGGAGCGCTAGTTTGTCCACACCATCACCGATACGAGCCAGCTTAGTTGTTGAGGCGCTATCTATTCGCTTCTTGTAAGGCTAAGAGCGGGAGGGGAGGTCTGAGAAAGGAACTTAAAAGGGATAACAAAGCACCGATGTGCTTTTATCCATCAGTATCAAATTTGGGATGGTCTCAAAAAGCCGTCTTAATATCTAGCGGCCTCTAGCGCAATTGATGTGTTTTCAAAAGAATTTTGCCGACAACAGCGTGTGTTTGATTGTAGGAAAGAGAATATACAACAGCGTGGGATGGTGTCTATAGAATAAAGATACTCCAACCGCAGCTACAGTTTTCTTTTTTTCAAAACAACCATCAGGTCAAAAATGCAAGAAAATCAATTTTAACAAAAAAAATGATTATGGGCGGCCGTGGGCCCCCTAAACGGCGTGCCCCCCCCCCCCCGCATTGCGGGGTCTGGCGGCACTGTAGTTCCGCCCCTGTTGCTAATACATTTAATATTTCCTGCATGTACCTTATAAGTTCTCCATCTTCCTTATCGGACGCCATTGGTGAAGGCCATGAAACATTCACAGTTGTTTCCCCCTTGTTTGTGTAATATTCATTTATGTCTGTTGTAGGACAGGTAATGTTTGGTGGATTATTAGCTGAAATAAAAAGTCAATACATTACTAAATATGTAGTTAAATATAAATAAGGAAGGCTACCTGGTTAAATATGTTTAAGTAGGCCAACTAACTTAACAATATTTTACTTACGAGGCGGTCCAGAAGGACAGAATAGATCGAACACAAAGCACGTGAACGCATAAAAGATGTCCATGAACCAGTCTCTTTTTATTCTCCTAGAAGGCTTGTAGTTGCTTTTGATTTTAACTGGATAGTGAAATTATACTTCATTGATTTAGCCAATTAAAATATAATGAGTGTGCATTAATGCTGAGCACGCCTTGATTATTCATCAAGGACATACATCTGGACCTGCCATAATACATAACAGGAAATAGAGACAAATTAGTAAAAATAGATCGTAGATTGAGAGGTTGTGTACTGGCCTCTGTAAAAAAAAATATCTGACAAAGCTGGGTTAAGAAAATATTTTATTTTTCTAATTAATGTATTTATGCTAATATGAAAGGTTGAGAAAATAATACATGACATTAAACCTAACTCTAACTCTAAACTTAACCCTAACCACAACCCACCAAAACCAAAACACAAACACAAAAACAAACGCGAACGTAACGCAAACAGATGCGCAAACACAAACGAAACTCAAACGGAACACAAACGAAAACGCAAACATAAACGTAAACGTAGATCTAGATCTTAATAAATTCCTTATATTCTTAAATTAGATGATCTCTGAAACTAATAGGAAAGATTTTGTCAAATATTAAATTATTTAAACAATGCAATAAAGAAACTCAAATAATTATTGAGTTTTATTCTTGTTTTTTTTTTAAATAATCAATTTTAGTTTCGCATATCGGTAAATCGCAGATCTAAAAATATTATTGTGTATTAAAGTAGAAGAACTGCCTAACGTATTGTATTGAAAGTTGATAATAGTGTTGGAACCTATTAAAAATAACAAACATAAGTATCGGTAAATCTATAGCCAACAGAAAATTTAGCTTTATAATGCGTCAAACTTTTGAATGGGCAACATGGTCTTTCATGGAAGCAGCCATGTTTGTTGTGAAAATATGTAACTAAATAAAATGACGTCAAAAAGCCAGAGAAGGTATATAATATTTTGGAAAATAGTTTTTGTTCTAAATTTTCATTATTGAAGTGATTTATCTACAAATGAACATATCAATATATTAATAAACGTTTTTAAAAATCATTTGTGTTTAACAGTTTCGGAAATTAAAAAAAAAAAATTTTTTGTAGACACCTCCCCTGGTGTATTTTCAACAACTTCTCAATATTTTAAGGCGATCGAATAAAAGGTGTAGTAATGTATAAAGACAAAGAAACATACGCGTACATTGTTATGTATATATATATATATATATATATATATATATATATATATATATATATATATATATATATATGTATATATATATATATATATATATATATATATATATATTGTTTTATATATATATTGTTTTATATATATATTGTTTTATATATATATATTGTTTTATATATATATATTGTTATATATATATATATATATATATATATATATATATATATATATATATATATATATATATATATATATATCAAGAGAGTTTGATGCTGACAATTTTCGTACACTCTAATTTACTTGCTCTTTAATCTCTAAATGCTACACATAATCGCTAAACTCAATGGGACTTAACAAAAAATGTAAAGCAAAAAACGGCGCATTTTCTTTGTTGAAATCTTCGCTCCCAACCGACGCCTCAGGCAGAGAGGTTTATGTTATGATGTCGCACAGTATAAGTGATTTATATTTACATTGGTGTTTCCAGCGTCCTCTAATACAGACATCATTTTCCTCCTTCCCAGGTCTGGTACATACTGTCCATTCAGGAACAAACGAAGCAGGGAGATTAAGGACGTCGGGTGAATTGAATTTGGTAATCATGCTGCACAAGGTCCGGTTCATCTCTGGCTGCAGTTCGCACTAAAACAAAAGCAAGAAGAACTATTTTATTTTAATATCACCTGCTTTGACTTTTAAAAGAGCATAATCATATTACACGTTATTGCTATTTTCTGACGCAATCTAGACCATTGTTTCAGGATGCTATTTGGCGTTCTGGGTTGTTCTGTGAGCACTATGGTGCCTATGTTAGTCGTAGCTAGGGGCCGTGCGCGGCGCCTCTGCGTTAGTGTAATCAGGGGCTCCCGATAGCGCCCCTCTACGTCCCTGCCAGGTGAGGTTTCTGTAAAAAAAATTAATTTCGCATGGGCGGCGCCACGGGGTGGTGGGATTTTTCTCAATATACGGTATATAAAAATAAAAGACGATTGCGGTTCGACACAGTTTATCCGGGTGCCATAAAACTGTAGGAAGTTGATGAATACTCCCGAGAAGGTTTGCGGCCCTCCGGCAGGATGCGATTTGGCACCCTGGTCTTTCCCGTGAGCGCTATGGCGACTACGCTCGGTCTAAACAGTGTGATAGACAATGGATAGGCAGGTGCGTTACAAACGCTCACTAAATTGAATCGGACGTGTCCGCCTGCGCCCTGGTAGGGTGCGATTTGGCTGCGAACAAAAATTTCAGTTTCGGCCCACAAAGGCTCACATGGGCCGCTGAGGGCCATGTAATACGTTTTATTTTAATAATCAGAAAAAATTAACCAAGGTTAGATTTTTAACTGGGATGTTTCTTTTTGTCCGTAAAAAAAATCCAAAAAGTTTCGTCACTTTGCGAATGATGCAATTAGCATCTATTTTCAAACAAACCAATCAGAAATCGAGATAGAGAATCTAATAATAGACCATTAATAACGCTAACATATTGAATCAGTCACACTTATGTTTAAAACACGCCCCTTATTTTTTTTTTAAGTGTTAAAGAAAAAATCCTGTTCATTTTTGGCATTTAGCGAAAGACGAAATCTGCATCATTGTTAAAAAGGATGCTATTTGGCACGATGGCGCCTGTTAGTTTTAAGGAGCCTGGGACCGCACGCGGCGCCAATGCGGTAGTGCATTCGGGGGGGGGGTGCTCCTGAGAGCGCCCCTCTGCGTCCCTAACACATGGGCGGTCACCGAAGTGTGTTCTACATCATTATTTCGGTGAGTGATTAATGTACACTAAAGGTTTTCATGCGGTGGGGAAGGTAATCTCGTGTCCCGATATTTATGATCCAAGCGCAGGCATTGTTTACATTTAAATAACTCACTTTTGGAAAACAAGGTGACACGTCTAAGAATGTAGGATTTGTAACGCATGGATGTAACCCTTCTTATGTATTGCGTCGGACTTTCTTCTATTTCCGCGGCAACGCGGGGGGACGGGTATATATATATATATATATATATATATATATATATATATATATATATATATATATATATATATATATGTATATATATATATATATATATATATATATATATATATGTATATATATATATATATATATATATATATATGTATGTATATATATATATATATATATATATATATATATGTATATATATATATATATATATATATATATATATATATATGTATATATATATATATATATATATATATATATATATATATATATATATATATATATATATATATATATATATATATAAATTTATGTCTGTCTCTGTTTTTTTTTATTTCGCTAGTGCGGCGCCCAGAGAGAGAGTGCGATTTTTCTCTCTATATCGTATATACAAAATTAAAGTCGGATTCACCATTCATCCGAGGTCAATTAAAGTTTGAAAAGTTGATAGGAATTCCCCAGGAAAGGTTTATGAGAAGAATTCAATTTCGGACTAGTGGCATACCGGCAAGGTCCAATTTGGTGCCCTAGGCTTTCCTGTGAGTGTTATGGCGCCTACGTTCGTTTAAAACAGTGCGATAAACTATGCATAAGATGGGGCATTAAAGCCGTGTACTCAACAAAATCAGGCGCGTCCGCCGGCGCCCTTGCAAACTATCCCCTGAGCGCATTGGTGCCTCCGCTCGTGCAATAGACAATCGATAGGGTGGCACGTTTAGTCATTTACTCCTGTTTGGTGCGATTTGGCGCCCTGGAGTATCCCTAGAGCGCTATGGCACGTACGTTCGTTTTAAAATGTTTAATAGGCTATGGATTAGATTGGGGTATTATTGACGTTAATTAATTGTATCAGGCGCGTCCACCAGCACCCTAGCAGGTTGTGATTTGGTGCCGCGTGCTATCACGTAAACTTTATTTATAAGGATCACCATATAATATTGACACGGTGGCACACTACATTCGATAATTAAACCAATCGAGGGGCCGTACGCTGCGGCGCTGCGGTAGTGTAATAGTGGGTTCAAGAGCGCGCCACTCTACGTCCCTGACAACTAGGCGGTCGCGAAGTGTGTTCTACCTCACTTTCACAGTGAGTGATTAATGCACGCTCAAGGCTTTCATGCAGTAGTGTAGGTAAACCCGTTCCACGACAAATATGATCTAATCACCGACATTTTTTACATTTAAATAACTAAGTTATAGCAAATCAGGTCACACATCTAAAAATATAGGATTGGTAACGCATTGATGAAACCCTCCTGCGTCAGACTTTTTTCAAACTAGCGTGGACAGGCAAGCTAATATATATATATATATATATATATATATATATATATATATATATATATATATATATATATATATATATATATATATATATATATAAATTATATATATATATAGTTTTAATGAGCGTGTATGTTTTTGTTTATGTATGTTAATACATGAATAAGTGGTTTTTTATGGTGGCTATATGACCAGTAAAATATCATACTGTCAGGGAGGAATAGGTTTAGGGTCGAAATTTGTGATAATGTTTGATGGTAATATGAGTTAACATTTACTTTAAAAAAAAACTTTTGTTTCGTTGTTTTCTTTTCATAACAACACCTTAATACTGCAAGTTCAAATAGTTAAAGTCACTATCTAGCCTTTTAAACGAGGTAGAAGTTTTGACTACATTTATATTCTATCAAAAGTTTGATAGTAAAGATAAAAAAGGAATAAAAAAGGTTTTAGTAGCAAGTTTCTAAATAACTATGTACTAAAAATTATAGAAGAAACGATTTTTAAAAATATATAATAATTAACCTCAATTAATAACTAAACAGAGAGGGTGGATCACTAGGTTATGTATACCTTTACTAAAATTTAAGAAGCGTCCCATGGTTTTCAAAGATAACGAATAGCGAATGCTAATGTTTTTATTTGAAATATATGTTAGCATCATTCGAATCTGAATTTACTTCTAATTTGATCCAAGGAGTGAAACAAGATTTTAGAAATGTAATGTATTTTTAACTTACGCCGATATTTAATTTTGTTAAGATGTCATTCTGTGTCCTGAACGCTTCTGATGAATATAGCACCGAACATAATAGAACAAAAAGTGAAGTGTATGCGATACTTTGCTTCATGTTTATTTAATGATGATCATTTTGATATCTGGCTGTTTACACAGTCTTAGGTTACATGTATTTTTTCAGTAGTCTTCGCATGACCAATGATCAATTTATTGATCTTCTGTCAATGACTTAGCATTTGAACTTATTAGACAGCTTAAATTTAAAACCAGGGAATTTCCGGTTATGTCAGTGAACTTAACGCATTGCGTAGTTATGTTTCTTCTTTGTTTAGCACTTTTTCAGAAAACGGTATTTTAATTGTATCCAAAAAATGTAACTCATAGGCTATAAATATTAGACTATTAATAAAACCAAGTAAGCTCGTGACGCAAAGACAAACTTTTAAAAAAATGGATCATAATCATTATTGATTATTTTAACAAAATATCTTTAATCGATAAACAGTTAAGAAAAAGCCTATTACCACTTATTGGTAACGTGATCTAAGGTAACTAAACCTCCTGCCTGACCCACCCTTTGGTAACACGTCCCTTCCCTGTCCCATCCTAAGGTAATCCAACATCTGTCTAACCAACCCTCAAGTAACCCAACCAATACCTGACCCAGCCTAAAGTAACCAAACGCTTGTCAAACCCAACATAAAGTAACCCAACCCATGCCTAACCCAACCTAAAGTAACCCAACCCATGCCTGACCCACCCTAAAATAGCCCATCACATGCCTAACCCAGCCTAAAGTAACCCAACCCATGCCTAACCCACCTTAAAGTAACCGAACCAATGCCTGACACAACCTAAAGTAACCCAACCCATGCCTAACCCACCCTACAGTAACCCAACCCATTCCCAACCCACATTAAAGTAACCCAACCAGTGCCAAACCCACAATAAAGTAACCCAACCCATGCCTAATCCACCCTAAAGTAACCCAACCCATGCCTAATCCACCCTAAAGTAACCCAACCCATGCCTAATCCACCCTAAAGTAACCAAACCCTTTCCTAATCCACCCTTAAGTAACCCAACCCATACCTAACCCAGCCTAAAGTAACCCAACCCATGCCTAATCCACCATAAAGTAACCCAACCCATGCCTAATCCACCATAAAGTAACCCAACCCATGCCTAATCCACCCTAAAGTAACCCAACCCATGCCTAATCCACCATAAAGTAACCAAACCCTTGCCTAATCCACCCTAAAGTAACCGAACCAATGCCTGACACAACCTAAAGTAACCCAGCCCATGCCTAATCCACCCTTAAGTAACCCAACCCATTCCTAACCCACATTAAAGTAACCCAACCAGTGCCAAACCCATAATAAAGTAACCCAACCCATACCTAATCCACCCTAAAGTAACCCAACCATGCCTAATCCACCCTAAAGTAACCTAACCCATGCCTGACCTCACCAATCCTGCGAGGAGCTGGAATCTAACATATACATACAGTAAATCTAACCTGCACGAACAGTACAGCTAT